CCTCGAGGAGGGGTGTCTATTTCCTGCTTCAAATATATTTTGTATTTCAAACTCCGTATTTCCATGGGAACCTCACCATGTATTCTTTTGCTGCCATACTTTTAAGCAAAGAATCTTCCAAGTCAGAGTATGCTTTGATCTGTATTCTTTTACCAAGAAAATAGCAATAAAGTAATGCTTACCTTAAAATTGGTGTTTATTTTCAAGGCACATAAGTTAATCTTGAAAACATCTTTTTTTTTTTTTTCTTTTCCTCTCTCTTCCTTAAGGATTTAATAACAAAAAGTTAAAAATAATAACAAAATAAAAAAAAAAATAGTCGAGTGCAGCACTGAGACAGTATTTTTCTGCTGGTGTTTCCATTTGGGATTTTTTGGAGTCCTTTTGCTACAGTGAGATTAAGCAAAGAGGAAGTTCCAAAATCTGGTAATGCTAATGTTGTTAGCAGTACTAGTGCCTTCAGGTTTCAGTCTAGTAAATATTCCATCACCAGTTTCAGGTCTGGTTCATATACATTAGTCATATCTTGTGTTATAAGCACACAGTACTTACTGTAAGAGCCTTATCCGTTCTTTGCCTGGGTAGACCATAGCTGCACAGGCAAACAAAGCCATTTCCCTATTCATGAAAGTCTGGCTTACCCTGAACTGTCTTCCCCAGTAAGTGTCACTGGGGAAGAATTTCTTGTAAGCTATTAACTTTTGTATTAACTGAAATTCTCTCATCAGTGTAATTTGTGGTGTATCTGAATCTGGATGCATTAAACTACTCCATTTCAATTTGGTGAAGATTTTTCCTGTTTTAAGACACTCCCACCTTCCTTTTTTCCCTCATGTCTCTTCCTTTAATCTCTTTCACCAAATGGAAGGAGCAAACTGAGCAGAAACACATGAGTTAAGTTTTTAGGAGTTACTTGTGAAACACTAAGCCTGAGGTTTGTACTTCACTGGAGCAGATGGAGAGGTTAATAAGTTCAGATGCTGTTTGCATGACACTCTTCAAGTCCAGAAAGAAGTCTGGCTGAGAACGAAGTACAGCATTTCTCAGCCTCTTCCTCCCTCTGCACCCTCCTTTCTCACCTAGTAAAACAAGCGTTGTGGGAGTAAATCTACTCTTGATCTTAATAACCACATTTAATTGCTTCCCACGCAGATGACACCTGTCCTTACAGAAGGACTGGTCAGTTACCAACAGGTGCAATAATTTAGCTTGTAGCTTTTAAAAATTAAAAAAGTAAATGTATAGGAGAACTACTATCGTAATGACTAAGGACAGTAGCTGTTTTAATTTCTCTCTTAGTATTCATGGGAATTAATTAATCTGTCTTCTGTTCCTGTAAGACAGTGAATTTAAACTACAATAGATGTGGCTTAAAATATGATAAATATTACAGAATATACTTTTCTCAAAGTGCTCCAGTGTGAGTTACAGTAATTCAGCGATTGAGCTGCAGTTGAGCAGGGTGTGTGGGACCATGATAGTTTCTCAATATCCCTCCTACAAATAGTTTGTAGTGCTGGCTTCATTTGCCAGTCTGACATGCTCAGAATGGTAGACTCTTTGATCAGTGCTAGTTACAGTCACTATCTGCTGCAAATAAAAGGAAGAATTTACATGGATGGAAGCAATACTCAGGGTTCAATAGAATGGATCTGCAACTATTGCACTAGTTATTCTTTATATACTGAAGATTCTCCCTACTGCAACAGGGCTGGCAGGTTTCAATACGAGTTTACATTTTGAAATATAAATGGGCTGCTGCTGTGAAAGAAACATTGGCTTGCCCAACTCATTGCGTCAACTTTAAAAGCAAACCACAGGCCTCTTATGCAAGAAAGTAAGAGTTTGTACAGTCCTCTACCATGAAATACTGACTTTATTGTGATGTTGGCATATATTCATTTTGGTCTTAGGGTCTGAAAATGCTTGTGAAAAGACTTCGTTTATGTTTCTGAGACAAGAGTTACCTGTGAGATTGGCAAATATAATGAAGGAAATAAGCCTGCTTCCAGATAACCTCTTAAGAACACCTTCTGTTCAGCTAGTGCAGAGCTGGTAAGAACAGTTTCACTTCATACCTTTAAGGGTGACCTTCTTCATATACACAAGTTGGAGGAACTCATTCTCTTTTATAGAAAAAAGTGTTTCATGTGCTTATTACATAAACATCTCTTCTTTAGATGGCATTAATATCCCAATGTGACATAAATCAGAAACTAAATTTACAGACTTGGAAAAAACCTTTAGGAACAATTAGAAAACCCACACAGGAATTAAAAAGAATTAACTATTGTAGATAGTAATGCATGAGAATTCACTAAAACCAAAAAATCTGCCAGAACGATGTTTAACAGGGGACTTACTGAAAATGAAGAAGCTAGTTGATGAAACCAACAGAAGCAGGCTAATGCACAAAATACTTCCAAAAGATAGTTAGAAACCATTTATAAGACAGGTTATTGCAGATTGAGAGTAAAGGTGTAGGAAATACAGAGAAAGAGCAATAGGAAGCTCCCAAAGCGAAAATATATAAAGCAGCAGAAAGAATACAAGCCTATTAAAATAAAAAAGACATCCTTTGAAAAGTAAAAGTCACTTTCAAGTAAGGAACTTAGACATAAGCCTGAACTGTTGTAAGGTGAAAGTGACCACTGCTAGAGGCACATGGCTCTCTGGAAAGGCTTTTAGAGAACAGAAAATCTGCCAGTGATTAAGTGGAATTGATTAGATGACTGAATATAAAACGAGCTATCAATGAAGATGGAAGCACATCTTAATGAAACACAAATGCTTAAATTCTCATAATAATAAATTACATTGATCAAATGGGAAATGAATTCCACTTGGACAAATGCAAAGTAGAACACAGAGAGGAACCTTTTCTCCCTGTATGCTTGCTTGCTTACAATGGAAAAAGAAATTTTGATGCTACTGGGGAAGTTTTTCTCCATATGTCAGTTAACGGGCAAGAAGGCAGAAAGTGTTAGGAAATAATAAATGGAGAGGAATATAATTGTACCACTGTGTTAGCCCATTATTCCTCTGAATTGCATGCAGTTTTAGTCATTCCATCCTGAACAGAAAAGACCAAGAGGGATAATCAGAGGGTTGGAACAACTTCTACGTGAGGAGAAACCAAATAGAATTCTGCAGCTTGGAAAACACACCTCTAAGGAAAGAGATGGCAGAAATACTTAAAGCATGAACAAGCTGGAAGGATTTTCTAATAACAGGAACTCGCTGGGGCCACAAATAAGCAATCACCTACTGGGTTTAAAATGCAAGGAGGATCTTCTATGCATTCTAATTGAATTGTGGATTTCATTGCTCTGGAAATTTTGAAGAAACCACGAACAGATTTCAAATGGATCTAACAGAATTCACAGGGGATAGGTCAATGGTGTATTTAAAATACAGATTTGGAAACAGCCAGCTCTGGAAGATCATAAATTGCTAACCAAAGGCATCCGTGGAGGCATATTAAAATTGCCTTTGTCAAATTTCTTTCGTTTAAAGGTATGTCCAAAGTCTTCAGGAGATCCTTGACTTTAAGGACAAAAGTTTAGAAGATTCAGGGACTATTCATAGGTAAGGATTTGGTGTCATTTATGTTAATATTATGTAGAAATACTGACAAGAAAATGACAGCTTAAGAAAAATTTCAGCTACCTCCAATATTTTTACAGGAATTGCAGTAATGTCACTCTCGTCCCTAAAAGGAGGGTACATCGAAACATGAAACAAAGCAATTTTATGTCATATCATTCTAGTTAGTTTTTTTTTTCTACACTGAAGAAGCTATGAATACCTTCAACTTTGCCATACGTTTACCACTTTCGTAGTTGTAACCTTGGAATGGTTGTATGGAAGTTTTCACCTGTGGAGTAGGTTTGGTCATCGTTGGCTGCCATTTGACAGGCATGAGATGATCTGCATGAAAATAGCTGGCGGAGTTTTTTCTTTTTGTTGGCAGTAAACAAGACAATTATACAATTTATAAATAATCAATACTCGTTAATAATCAATGGTTGATTACTGGTTGTTCCAATGTTAGTCACTTGAAATATGCTATAAAGACTGACCTGTAATCCTGTTGCTTGTGATATTTCTGTACCTAACTATCTTAATTTTTGTAATCAGATGCTCTGAGTATTAAATTCACTTGAACATGAGATACTAACAGTGTATTAATTACAGTTTTACAGATACTGTGATAAAAATCCGGAATCGACACAATGATGTAATTCCTACGATGGCTCAAGGAGTAATAGAGTACAAGGAGAGCTTTGGCATTGATCCAGTGACCTCACAGAATGTGCAGTATTTTTTAGACCGTTTCTACATGAGTCGAATTTCAATTAGAATGCTCCTTAATCAGCACTGTAAGTGCCATTGTTGAAAGGAGGGGAAACGATACCTGTACTATGTCAGTATATTTTCCTTTAATTTTTAAGCATGCTCAAGGCCACACATACTTAAATGCTTCTTAGGAATACACTATTTGCCTTGCTATTTATAAACACATTTTTAATACAGTTCTTAAAATATTTATTAATAGTAGGTTTTCAATTGAAATTATAGATTTCCTATAAATTTCTGTTTAGCAAAACCAAAGACACAAATTAAAATGACAAAATTATATTGGGTATTAAATAATATTTTCTTTTTTGGCAGCTTTACTCTTTGGTGGGAAAAATAATCCAGCTCATCCAAAACACATCGGAAGCATTGATCCTAGCTGCAATGTTGTTGAAGTTGTTAGAGGTAAATCAAGCAGATAAGAACAAGAATCCTGAAAACTTACATGAATGTCCATACTGAGAGCCAATACACATTTTGATACTCATGTACTGCTTTGTATTTTCCTCTGTGGAGTACGAGTTTCATTTAAAGTGTAATAGTTTTGTCACTTTTCCCTATAAACCCGTTTTTTTTGTGAGGAAAGAACAGAATCTCCCTGACAGTGCAGTGTTTTCTATTTTTGTTTTTCTTTATGACAAACTGTAAAGGAGGGGGAAAAAAGTTGGAGGGAGAAATATAACATTCTGTGGTTTTATTATAGATGGCTATGAAAGTGCTAAGAGCCTTTGTGATTTATACTACATGAGCTCTCCAGAACTCATCCTTGAAGAGTTGAATAGTAAGTAAATATGGGGTGAGGCACTGTCTTGAACATAGTGATGGTATCTTCTGAAGTAGCTGGTGGTGAAATGTTCTTCCACTTTTCTCTGTATGTACTCTCATATATAGTTTAGTGGGTTGGTTTGTTTTTTAAATCTGGCAGATGGCTTTCTCTATTCCTCTCTTTAATTAGAAAACTGAAATAATCAGAAAAGTGTTTGACACTACAGCTGTTGATACAACAGACTTTAGCAGCCTCCTTCCTTCTCTAAAGGTACCTTGTATGTCTTAGTTCTACATTGTTTATTGCATCTCACCCTGTGCATTTCTTGTGACACTTAAGATTTATACTAAACATTACATTTTAATTTCTCTTGCTTGTTCAGTTATTGTGTTCTTGTAGATGTAATTAGATACAGTACAGTGAAGTTGTGTTAAAAATGATTTGAACCTATTTGCTGTAACTTGAAAAAACAGTTTACAGCTGTATTGCTCTGAACTCGGAGGTCAGCTATTGCCCTCATAGGCCTGCTGAATGCTGAAGAGCCTTTCTGACATTACTCACCGGAGTACTTTTCAAGATACCAAATGCCAAGTTTGAACAGACCTACAAAAGAAGCAGTCAAAATTGCTTCTACAGTAATTGCAAAAGTTGAAGTGCAAGCACAGTAATTTGGCCTATGATGCTAAAGGCAACGCCTGTGTGGCCTTGTCTACGCATTCCAGATCTTTTCTTCCTCATGTACAAAACCTGCCATGCTCTATTTAGGTGAAAGGGTTTACCTCCCTCCATCTTTGGAGCATATACTAAAAGCATTTGTAGGAAACTGTCAGTCATGCTAAGTAATTCTAAGTGTTGAGGGGTCATTTAATGGTGTATGTGCTCCAGAAGCCAGAACAAGTAGTTCAGTTTTTATAAAAGTGACCTTTTGCTCAATGAATTGTGCAGTTCTGCTCAGTGAGTTAAACCTGATCCAGGGCAAAGGCACTTTGCCCATACCTGAGAGTAGAGACTGTTATTTAAACCTTAAACATGGAATCTGGGGGTGAAGGCATGGAAAGAAGTGGTTAACTTAAGGGTAGGAACCTGATACATTTCAAAGTGTGATTTGTGTAGCTATTGATGGTTACAAACTGTCCAGGAGAGACAAGAACTGAAGGAAGGGCGGTGGTGCTGCCCTTTATGTTAAGAAATTGATAGCTTGTGAAGAGCTGTCCCTTAAAAATGGCCACGAGCAGGTTGAAAGCTTATGGGAAAAGATCAGAAACCGAGAAAACAAAGG